TGGGTCTAACATGCACACAATCCCTGGTCCCTTGCACAAAGAAATCTATGACAACTGTCTACCCTCCTGCTTATCTTTAAAACCAGCTTTTCCCGTTTCAGCTCACTGTGAGTCCTAGAAAGTAATCTTGACCTTCAAAACAGGTAGGAGAGGGTAAAAGAGGGGATAAATGGTGATGGAAGGAGACTTGACTTGGGGTGGTGAGCACAGATGATGTATTATAGAATCATACACCTGAAGCCTATATAATTTTTTTAACCAACTAGAGGCCTGGTGCATGAAATCATGCATGGGTGGGGTCCCTCAGCCTGGCCGGGATGGGGGCCGATTGGGGCCTTCTCGCCCAGTCCTGACTGGGAGAGGTACCCCGGGGGAGGGACCGTGGGAGGTTGGCTGTGTGAGCGCACTGACCACCAGCGGGCAGCTCCTGCATTGAGTGTTTGCCCCCTGGTGGTCAGTGCGCATCATAGTGACTGGTGGACTGGTTGTTCGGTCGCTTAGGCTGTTATATATATAGATATCTCCTTAATAAATTCAATTTTTAAAAAACCCCACAAAAACAAAGAAAAAAAACAAAAAGCTTAAGGAATTTAGTTACAATGTTTATAAGTTAAGAAAACATACTCAGGCAGTGAAAATAATTTTGCCTCAGTATTCTAAATCCAGATATATCCAAATAGAGTATAGAATTTCATTTTTCTTTAGGGTTTATGGAGTCACAGGGAGAAAAACCAGTTTTCATCCTTTTAGACCAAATTTTCTTTTCTCCTGGCCGTTTTTCTCTCAGTGAGGTGAAAGGGAGATTATTCAGCGGGCCTGCAGGAAGCTATCAAGGTGTGGCCCTTGTCACTACTCCTATGTCTTAGGGAACCGGGCAGATAGGCGCATCCTGGTTAACCCAGCAAACAGGAAGCAAAGTGCTGCAGAGCCAGGGCAATGCTGGGAGTGGGATCAGTCGCTGAGCTCCTGTCCCACCGAGGGCTCTCTATGGGCATTGATTCCAGAAGAGTGTTTTCTTCCGGGGTGTCTGGCTCAGTCCCTGCTTATGGAAGGTGTGCTGATCACCTGTGTGGCCTTGCTAAGGGATGGGGACAGTCACTTGATTGGTACCTGTTTTGTCACCTGTTGAACTATACTCTCCATCAGCTGCCTCGCTCAGGGCTCTTCCAGGCCGTGAATCACGCAACCCCTTGGCGAGGGGTCTGTGCAGGCAGCAGCGACAGCCCTCACACGTCCACCAGTTTAGAGCCAGCAGCTGCCTCCAGCCCAGCAGTGGCGGGTGTGGTAGGACGTGGGGCACAGGGTACTGATGAATCCAGGCCGTCCTTCCAAATAGTTGGCTTTATATCAAGCCTTTTTTTTTTTAAAGGAAAGTTAGCGAGTGTGTGGATTCCCATTTAGCAGGAGTGTATTGAGTCTCTTAGATCCTATTGGCACCTATGCACCGTGGAAACTGGTACTGAGTGAAGGAGGAGGTACAAAGATGCGTTAAAATGCCGTGTTCTCAGAGACAAGAAGGTACAAGAGGTACAGAAGTCCTTGGGAGTACTTCCTACAAAGAGGCTGTGGTCTCTCTCTCTGGGGAGACCAGGGACATGTGCTTAGAGGGGGTGGCTTTGATATGGATATTAAGGATCCCTAGAGTTCATTGTTAGAGATGGAGCAGAAAGAAGAGAGGGACATTTCAGCAAATACAGTGAATAAAGTGTAAGTATGGAGAACACACACACACACACACACACACTATGTAGTTGGTGGTCATTGGGGATCTCTGGGGGATATTGGAGCAAAAGACTGACATGAGCAAAGTTTGAGGGGAAGTTCTAATTTTGCCTAATTACAGTTAAAGTGAGGATTGGAAAGAAAGAAACTTGGAGATGTGTAGATTCAAATCTATAGGGGTCTGGTGATGGGATCCCGGGGAGAGTTCTTAACAAAGGTGGTGACGAGGTCTGGAAAGGACAAAGGAGAGAGAAGCTATGGAGGAAGTAAGGATGAGCCGCAGTGTCTTGTAAACGTGACTATCACAGAATAGGGCAAAGCGAAGGAGAAGGCAGGTCCTCTGGAAACGTACATGGAAGAACTGCCAAAAGTAGGAGCTTATGGAAGGTAGGAATCTGAGGTTGACGTGCCAGTGGAGCATTTGATGGGACACGCGTGGCAAGTGGTCCTCAGGAAAGGCGCTGGGGCTGGAAAGTAGGATTAAGGATGACGAGATTAGGGAACGATTCATGCGATAGCAGGAGTTGGAATGAGGGGCATCAGGACTTTATAAGGCTGGTTAGGAGGTGAGAAGTAATAATGTGAACATCACAGAGGAAAATGCGACACAACCTTGTAAACAATTTGACCTGGAAATTAAGGAAGTAAAGGTAATGAAGCCCCTGGCAATAGTGGAGTTACAACAAGACGGTCGTCATGGTGGGGGGTGGAGGGCATTGGGGATGCGCTATGTTGGGGTAGAGTGATGGGTAGTGAATGGTGAGAATGATGAGTTTTGTTTCATATTTAAATAAGATGCCCGAAGGAGAGTTAAAACGCTATGTTTAACAAGCTGTCAAAGATTTGCAAGAGAGGGTTCTGGGACCAGAATAGATTTAGGGCAGTCAAAGTGAGTGAGGAACTGACCAATTAAGTAAAAGCAGAGACACAAGAACAGAAACACGGAGCTTGGAAGCTAGAGGTCAAAGAGAAACAAGGAAGGGTCTCCTGGATTTTGTTGAATTGGTTATAAAATAGGAAAACGAAGAAAATACAACACAAGCGCTGGAAAGAGGGTGTCAGAAAGAAGGTAGTAGTGATGGTGTCAAGTTAGATGGACGGATTAAGGGAGATGAGCACTGTGAGAGTCATTACAACTAGGTGTGGGCGGTGGAAGCTAATGTTTCCTTGGAGCAGGTGGAAGAATGGAGGGACAGGTGTAGGAAGTGGCCCGTGGGACCAGCCTCATCCTCCCATGTCATCATCTCAGTAGGTGAGGCTGCACAACGGGTGCTTCATGTTCAGTTAACTGATTCCTTTTCGTCTGTGGTGTAAGAGTTTTTCTTTAACCTTTCTCTAGTAAATCTTTAAGCTTGTTTTTTCCATGGTCTTTACTACTTCCTTCTATCCATCTTCAGAATGTCCTAGATGTAATCGTTCTAGAAGCCCACAGGCTTCTGTCTTTTCAAATTTGATTCTGAGTCTATGATTCAGATCTGAATTAGAATCCCAGAAGTTCCTCTAGGAGACCTCAACTGGGAAGTCAGATTCCGGGAGCTGTGATTTCAGGTGCCTTTTCCTACCTTCATAGCAATACTTCCTTGGCCTGATCTGTTGTTTCCATGTCATTTAAGACTGAAATCCAGCTCTGTTACTTATGTTTCATTTTGGAGGGTGCAAGAAGTGAGATTAGGGGTCTCAGAGACCGATTGGTCTTCATGAAATGCTGAAAGGTCAAAATCTTTGTCTTACGAGAGAAGTTTTGTTCCTACAGTTTTTTGTTCATTTGGTTTGCCCCTTAACTTACAGCTAAATCCATAAACAACGGAGAAATGTTCGCAAAGGCCTCGTACTAATGTGACATGTAACTTCATGGTAGAGCCCGATCCCCATTTCTAATCTTATTCTAAAGGAGACCAACTCAGGATGGCAAGAACACCCCACCATCTTTCCCCCAGTCTAGGTCCTTCTTTCCCCCACTTGTTCATAGTTGTGGGCAGACATGACTCAGTCATAGAGGCTGGACCTCCAGTGGGAGGGGGTCATTGGAGCAACACCAAGAACAGAGTTGGAGCTCTGGGCAGGGCTGGAGGGCCTTAGAAAGGACTACAGTGTTCAGAATTCATAGGAGGGTGGATATGGCAGCATTGTGTCCAAGGACAAAGATACAAGAAGGAAATGGAGCTCTTCTAGTGACATGATTGTGTCTTTTGCCCTTCGTATTAATTCTAATGTAATTTTATTTAAGTTAATTATATCACTGCCCCAAGGAGTGAGCAGGCCCTATGCCCATTTTACAGATAAACTAGTTTGAGGTTCAGCAAATGAAGGAAGTTGTAGGTCCAACTGCAGGCAAGTTGACGAGCTAGGATTGGAACTGGTCCTGCTTGGCTCCGAAGTCCTTCTCCACACCACTTTGCCCTCAGAGGGAAGGGACTGAAACTTCTATGTAGACAGATTTTCATGGTGTATCTGAAAACCTTGAACCACGTGTGTCTTTCTTTGATTTCTCTTCCCCATTTGTTTTTGGTCTGTAACTCGTTCTTTTGGTTGACACCCCAGGAGACAGACAGGGTCTGTTTGCATCCAAAACAGAAAATGTTTCCACATCTCTGGGCGAGCTGTGTGCCTCCCCGCATTCCTTCCATTTGGAGGCGGGCAGAGCGCAGCTGTGGCTGTGAGGCAGGGGGACCAGCTGTGCCAGCTGCCAGTTGACACCAGGGCACATGCTGTCTTGGTCCCATTGCTCGCGTGTGCCCAGCTCAAGTGGCTGTGTGATTGGCGTTTGTCAGTGCCACGGATGTGGAAAGAATTCTATGCGCTTGGGAGGAAAAATTTCACAATACCTCCTATTTCATGTGCCACATGTTCCATAAAAATATCACGAGTCCATGCTTGTTTGCGCACAAGCAGGCTGCTGGTAGCCCGACCCATGGCCTCTGAGGAGTTCTGGTTATCATTGACCTTGTAGGCCTTCGTGGCTTCTGAGATCTTTGAACCAAGCTGTGTTTTCATCCTGATTTTCACGTGGCCGAGTTGCAGATGGTGTATATTTTGTTCAACTTATACTATTTAATAGAGGAAAGTGCCACCGGGGTCATCAGTCATTAGCATATGTGGCAGTGATGGCGGCAGGTGATTGCCCTGAGAAAAGCAACGGCTTCTTCAGAACAGCCAAGAACAGCAAGTGGAAAGTCTCCTTGCTTAGAGATCTCCACTCACCTTCTGCTTCTCCTTTTTTAAACATTTCAAATGATGAAATGAAACTAACAGTGTTTCCTTTTTTTGCTATTTTGCAGAAAAAACCACTGTCCGCGATAATAAAGGAAGTCTGTGACGGGTGAGTGTTGTTACTCAGGATTCACCTGAGGGGCTCCGGGCCACAGCTTGAGGGGCAAATAGAATATTCCCGTGTGATGGTCAGATATCACTCATAAGTCACCCCTCGACCTGCCCAAAGACACCCCGAACGCCTACGTGAGATGTGCATGCCTCTTTCCACGGAGAGGTTACCTTGTTCCCCAACGAGAAGGTGTGCACTGGCGGTGTGGGTACCTCGGCGGGGGGAGGGCAGGCTCTGTTTATTGTGAGAAGTTGCGCTCACCCATCAGTCTCAACAGGGAGCGGCCTAACGTTCCGGAGTTAAATGCTCACTTCATTTGGTATCAGCGGAGGGCCACGCAGGCCCCCGTAAAGAGGAAAGCATGACACAAGTCAGCGGCCACTCTGCTGCCCGTGGACGGCACAGCAGCGCGCTTTCCCACTTCTCTTTGGCCGCGCACACAGTCAGGGGAAAGCGCATACTAGCTGCTTGTGTGTTTTTCTCTCTTAAAACAGAACTGTGGATAGAAAGGTACCTGGGATTTACTTAAGATCCAGGATACTTCACTAGAATGTTCCAATTTGCAGCAAGCCAGAGTGATTGGGAATTGGAGAATGCAGAGGCAATCAAAATGCAACGGTTATCAAAAGCTTAAATTACATTCATTTCCTTTGTTTTCCCGTCTCTGCTCCACGCCTTCAACATAGGGAGGAGTGTAACTTTATATTTAAACATCACCCCTGCCCAAAGCCATGAAGGTGAAATGCTGCAGTGAGCAGGGGGCTTGGAATGAAACCTGGGCGGGCCTCAGGGGGAAAGAACGGGTCTTAGGGTGACAGGCGGGCTGATATCATTTAGAATTAGCAACCACGTTGTGGGGTGTGTAATAGGGTGTCCAATTCCTCTACCTCTACCAAACTAACAATTAAAGTGACCGTTTACTGGTTTTCTGACTAGTTCATGCTTATATTTTCAGGTGGTCCCTGACCAACCATGAATTCTTCGCTCTGCAGCATGCCGACAGCTCAAACTTCTACATCACGGAAAAGGTAGGTCTGCCCGGGATTGAATCCGGGACAATTAGCCTTTAAGGAAGTTAAAACATGAGTGCTGTTTCCTCTGCTCAGGACCATACTGGTCTACAGTTCACATCGACCCTCCACAAAGTGGAGTCTGCACAGCAAAGAACTGCCCCGTCAGTACTACCCGGCGGCATTTAGCCCATCCAAGAGTGGAGACCACCTAGGTGTCCATGTCCCGTGTTAGCAACTGCACTTACTTCTACCAGCGAGGTCACTCATTTTCTCTCTCATTGCATGGTTGAAGCATTAATGGGACCCTTGATGACAGCCTAGCTCCCTTTCACGACATTTCCCCCAGCAATGCCTAAACCCTCTTCAAGTGCTTGAAACAATGGCAAGAACTTTTTTAAGCTGGCGTTGTGCAGGCTCAGGTGTTCTGTGGCTTTGGGGAGCCCTGCTTCTTCTTGGTGATGTTTATGCTGTGGGGAGCTTGAAGTAGAGCAGGGGGTTGTGAAGACGATGGGGTCTCTGGCAGCTGGGAAATCAGTGGGAGAAGGGAAAACTGACCTTCATTCAGAACCTACTGGATGCCCGGAAGTGGGCCAGGCTTGTTACATCTGTTTGTTGATTTCTTCCTCGAGACTCACCCATGATGCACACAACACTGGCTTTTGTTGACAGTCAAGGAACTGAATCAAAAAAATCCAGTGGCTTGGTCAGCATCTCAGGGGTAGTGACCGAGAGAATCAAGAAGCAAGTCCACGTCTTTGTGCTTCCATCACTTTTCCTGTGGGGGTTTCTAGAGGAGCTGAGCATCCAGCTCGGTTTTATGGAGCATTCACTGAGATGCAAGGAGCCAACGTGGTCCTCGTGGAACATGTAACCTGGTGCCGTCGGCGGGGAGGAGGGGGCAGCTCCATGAGAAGTTTTCACCACAGCGAGGTGGACAGCGCGGGGACAGAAGTAAATGGAGAATGCTCTGGGAGGAGGGAGATTGGGGCGACCTCTGGCTTTGGGCTTTGTTCCTCCGTCAGTGGCCCCTAGAGTAACCCCAGGCTTACCCACAAGTCAAGTGATGGTGAAAGGTGGATGCAGTGGTGGGCCTTATGCCCACTGTGACTGCTCACTTTACATGAGAAGTGTGTGTGTGGGGGTGTGTGAGGGAGGAGCCACATATGAGTCGCCCAGGTTGGGGTCACAGCCTGGAAATGCTTCCAGAATTTGCCTTGTTCTGTCCGGATGCACACGGGAATTTTCATAACTCCTGTGCTTTCCTGGTCACCCGGTTGCTGGTGCTGAGAGTTAACGTTGGGACTAGACCTCCTGCCATGTTGTTAATGTGACTTGTTCCTTTGACTCACTCCATAGACACTTAGTTCCCTGTCCTCATGCTTCATTTTCTTAATATTTTTTATTTATTTTATCCTGCCTTCAGATAATCTACATGCTGCTCTTTGTAAGATAAAGAGGAGATAAGTAAGGTTCAGTGCTGGCAGGGAAATGTATTGCTGACGATCGATCGCCTTAAGCAGAAGACTCTCTCATTTCAACTTGGTTCACCTTTTAAAGGCAGCTAACATATTGTGACTTTGGGGTGTCATTGGAAAAGATTGGATGGTTCTCTACTCATTGAGGTATAATATGAAAAAGTGTAAAAATTTTTAAGTGATAAAATTATAGGACAGTCGAAGTTATAGTAGGGTTTTACAAACATCACCAGTTAGTGGATAATGCAATCAATTCAGTTCATTGTAATCGTATTAAAAATTGGAATAGATTAGATAGACTAGGTCAGAGTGTATCTCCTGCATAGCTTGTGAAATACTTGTGTCTTGTGCACACATGTATAACACATGGATTTGGGCTGGACTTTGACCCTGGGTTGTGGTCCACAGTCGCTGAGCCACACAGAGCCCTGCCTTTGATTAGCCTCTCTCAGCCTGTGTCCCCTGGTGGCTGTCCTGTCTTCTGTCACCATTGTCAGGGGACTGGAGTTCATTGGAGATTCCTAAGGACAGGATTCTCAGACTAGAGAACATAGCATCCCAGGGAGAACCTTTTAAAAATACATATTTTTAGACCCTGACCTGGGTGACTCATATGTAGCAGGCCTGGGGTGTGGCCCTGGGTTTGCATGCAGACAGCCCTCCTGGGGTCCTGGTGCAGGCACCCGGGGACCACCTGGCAGCCCTGTGCCCTGGGCCACTCTTCCGAAGAGGTGGGCTCTGTGCCCGTGAACGGAAGTCATGCACTAAGTTCGACCTAGGAGTGTGTTTGTGTGCAGCTGATTCTTGGAAAAATTTAAAAATTCATGCAGTATTTATGCTTTTGTTCTAATTAAAATTAACATAGACTCAGCCAATTTAAACTCCTCAGAATAGTAGGAAAATGATCATTTTATTGGGCATCCTAGTCATTTTCTGGGAAATTGTTCTGCTTGAGGAAGTTCTTCATGTTGAGTTTAAAAGGGGCTGCTACCTCCCCGGCCATCGTGGCTCAGTTGTTAAGCTTTGGCCCATGAACCAGGAGGTCACGGTTCAATTCCCAGTCAGGGCACATACCCGGGTTTTGCCCAGGAGTGGGCGTGCAGCAGGTAGCCAGTTGATGTTTTTATCTCTCTATCCCTCTCCTTCTCTCTCTCTAAAATCAATAAACATATATAAAATAAAATAAAATAAAATAAAAGGGACTGCCACCTAAGTCTGCCATTCCATCTGTCCCTCTTCAGTGGGCAGTGGCAGCAGAGATTATTCTTTTTAAAAATATATATATTTTTATTGATTTTAGAGAGGAAGGGAGAGGGAGAGAGAAATAGAAACATCAATGAGAGAGAAACATTAATCGCTGCCTCCTGCACGCCCCCTGGCATGAGCCCTGACTGGGAACCTAACCAGCTACCTCTTGGTTCATGGGTCAATGCTCAAATGCTCCACCATGAGCCACACCAGCTCGGCAGGGGTTGTTCTTTTAGTAAGAGTTTGAGGGATGAGGAGACTCATCTTCCCAATACTTTGTTTATAAATAAGATGTCACGCCCTTTCCCCCTGCAGCTGTTCCACAGCACTCCGCACTGCAGGGCAGGGAAGGGCCTCAAGCCGGGGTCTGCAGGGGCAGACCTGGGCTGCCTGCCGTCTGCCGTTAGGTCCAGGTAGCTCCTTGCAAGTTTTCCTAAAACTAGAGCCCATTTTCCATCTTTTCAGGCAATGTATTTAGCACGATCTTGGACACTTACAGCCCAGTGAGTTGTTAGGTAATACTTGCATCACCATGGTAACTGGTGACTGATGTTTGAAGCCTGTGTGTGTTCTTAGTTACTGATCTCCCCTTGTGTACCAGGTGGTCTCTTCCTCTGCCAGAGATCAGATGTGACCTGTCATTTTAAAGAAGAGCAGTTCCCCAGGCCCGGCAGCCAGCACAGGTTGTGGCCGGTGGACTGAGGCTGGAGCTCCCCAGGAAGGCCGCTCCCACCTGGCCCCAGCCCCATCTCCTTATTTGCTTATTGGCCCATTAGTTTCACTCTTTCCGTGCAGTGGGGGAGTGTCACATTGTCAAGCAGCGTTAAGCAGAAGTGTAGCATGCAAATGCCTTGGAGAAAGCTAAGTGTCAGCTATTCACAAGTTCAGATTCTGCCCCAGAGACTTTTGTATCTCACGGTTATGTCTGGGGGTGGGGGAGAGAATAAAAAATGAAAAGTGAATTGTGTATTTTTAGCTTTATTGAGGAATAATTGACAAAGTTGTAAGATCATGGTAAAGTGTACATCATGGTAATTAGATATGCCTATACATTTTGAAAGGATTCCTCCCATCTACCTAATTAGCACATCTATCACCTCATTTATTTATTTACTTATTGGGTGAGAACATGTAAGTTCTCCTTTCTCAGCAAATTTCAGTTCTATGCTACAGTGTTATCGACCATAATCACCGTATTTTATGTTACATCCTCCATATCCTCCATCCTCATTCATCTTACAGCTGAAGTTTGTACCCTTCTCCCAACCTCTCTCCATTTCTCTCAGCCCCTCAGCCCATGGCAACCACTTATCTGCTCTCTGTTTTTGTTTGACTTTGTTTTTAAGATTTTAGATATAAGCGATGCCCTGCAGTGTTTGTCTTTCCATGTGGGACTCATTTCTTGGCGTAATGCCCGCAGGGGCCATCCATGATGTTGAAAATGGCAGGATTTCCTTCTCCCTCAGGGCTGAGTAGTATTCCAGTGAGCACATACATACCACATCTTTCCTCATCCATCTGTCGACGGCCACTTAGGTTGCTTCCATGTCTGGGCTATTGTCAATGGTGCTTATATCTCTCTGGTAACCTTTTTTCATTTTCTTTGGATATATACCCAGAAAGTGGGGTTTCTGGTTCATTATGCTAGTTGTGTTTTTGATTGTTTTGAGGAACTTTCATCATACTGTTTCCCATAGTGGCTGCACCCATTTACATCCGCATCAAGAGGGCTCTCTTTCTTTTCAGCATCCTCACCAACTCTCTTTCTCCCCCCAACCCCCTTTTTAGATGATGGTCATTCTAACACGTGTGAGATAAACTCTCATTGTGGCTTTAATACATTGTGGCATTTTCCTGATTGTTAATGATCTTGAGCATATTTTCATATACTCATCAATCATTTGTATGCCTTCTTTCGAAAAATGTCTGTTTAGCTCTTCTGTCCATTTTAAAATTGGATTGTTTGTTGTTTTGCTACTGACTCTTGTGAGTTCTTTATATAATTTGGATATTAACCCCTTTGTCAGATATATGATTTGTACACACTTTTCTCTCATTTCGTAGCTTGCCTTTTCATTCCGGTCCATGGTTTCCTTTGCTGTGCAGAAGGTTTTTACTTGGATGTAGTCCTACTTGTTTACTTGTGTGGATTGCGTGTTAACTTCAAATATTCCAGTGGAATTTGTCTTCTGCGATGGAGAGGAATACGCATTGGCATTCTCTGTCCTCATTCCGGTCTGATGATGCGGGTATTATCTCCATTTTACAGCGAGGAATGTGAGACCCAGAGTG